CTGGGAGGGGGGGGGGGGGGGGGGGGGGGGGGGGGGGGGGGGGGGGGGGGGGGGGGGGGGGGGGGGGGGGGGGGGGGGGGGGGGGGGGGGGGGGGGGGGGGGGGGGGGGGGGGGGGGGGGGGGGGGGGGGGGGGGGGGGGGGGGGGGGGGGGGGGGGGGGGGGGGGGGGGGGGGGGGGGGGGGGGGGGGGGGGGGGGGGGGGGGGGGGGGGGGGGGGGGGGGGGGGGGGGGGGGGGGGGGGGGGGGGGGGGGGGGGGGGGGGGGGGGGGGGGGGGGGGGGGGGGGGGGGGGGGGGGGGGGGGGGGGGGGGGGGGGGGGGGGGGGGGGGGGGGGGGGGGGGGGGGGGGGGGGGGGGGGGGGGGGGGGGGGGGGGGGGGGGGGGGGGGGGGGGGGGGGGGGGGGGGGGGGGGGGGGGGGGGGGGGGGGGGGGGGGGGGGGGGGGGGGGGGGGGGGGGGGGGGGGGGGGGGGGGGGGGGGGGGGGGGGGGGGGGGGGGGGGGGGGGGGGGGGGGGGGGGGGGGGGGGGGGGGGGGGGGGGGGGGGGGGGGGGGGGGGGGGGGGGGGGGGGGGGGGGGGGGGGGGGGGGGGGGGGGGGGGGGGGGGGGGGGGGGGGGGGGGGGGGGGGGGGGGGGGGGGGGGGGGGGGGGGGGGGGGGGGGGGGGGGGGGGGGGGGGGGGGGGGGGGGGGGGGGGGGGGGGGGGGGGGGGGGGGGGGGGGGGGGGGGGGGGGTGGGGGGGGGGGGGGGGGGGGGGGGGGGGGGGGGGGGGGGGGGGGGGGGGGGGGGGGGGGGGGGGGGGGGGGGGGGGGGGGGGGGGGGGGGGGGGGGGGGGGGGGGGGGGGGGGGGGGGGGGGGGGGGGGGGGGGGGGGGGGGGGGGGGGGGGGGGGGGGGGGGGGGGGGGGGGGGGGGGGGGGGGGGGGGGGGGGGGGGGGGGGGGGGGGGGGGGGGGGGGGGGGGGGGGGGGGGGGGGGGGGGGGGGGGGGGGGGGGGGGGGGGGGGGGGGGGGGGGGGGGGGGGTGGGGGGGGGGGGGGGGGGGGGGGGGGGGGGGGGGGGGGGGGGGGGGGGGGGGGGGGGGGGGGGGGGGGGGGGGGGGGGGGGGGGGGGGGGGGGGGGGGGGGGGGGGGGGGGGGGGGGGGGGGGGGGGGGGGGGGGGGGGGGGGGGGGGGGGGGGGGGGGGGGGGGGGGGGGGGGGGGGGGGTGGGGGGGGGGGGGGGGGGGGGGGGGGGGGGGGGGGGGGGGGGGGGGGGGGGGGGGGGGGGGGGGGGGGGGGGGGGGGGGGGGGGGGGGGGGGGGGGGGGGGGGGGGGGGGGGGGGGGGGGGGGGGGGGGGGGGGGGGGGTGGGGGGGGGGGGGGGGGGGGGGGGGGGGGGGGGGGGGGGGGGGGGGGGGGGGGGGGGGGGGGGGGGGGGGGGGGGGGGGGGGGGGGGGGGGGGGGGGGGGGGGGGGGGGGGGGGGGGGGGGGGGGGGGGGGGGGGGGGGGTGGGGGGGGGGGGGGGGGGGGGGGGGGGGGGGGGGGGGGGGGGGGGGGGGGGGGGGGGGGGGGGGGGGGGGGGGGGGGGGGGGGGGGGGGGGGGGGGGGGGGGGGGGGGGGGGGGGGGGGGGGGGGGGGGGGGGGGGGGGGGGGGGGGGGGGGGGGGGGGGGGGGGGGGGGGGGGGGGGGGGGGGGGGGGGGGGGGGGGGGGGGGGGGGGGGGGGGGGGGGGTGGGGGGGGGGGGGGGGGGGGGGGGGGGGGGGGGGGGGGGGGGGGGGGGGGGGGGGGGGGGGGGGGGGGGGGGGGGGGGGGGGGGGGGGGGGGGGGGGGGGGGGGGGGGGGGGGGGGGGGGGGGGGGGGGGGGGGGGGGGGGGGGGGGGGGGGGGGGGGGGGGGGGGGGGGGGGGGGGGGGGGGGGGGGGGGGGGGGGGGGGGGGGGGGGGGGGGGGGGGGGGGGGGGGGGGGGGGGGGGGGGGGGGGGGGGGGGGGGGGGGGGGGGGGGGGGGGGGGGGGGGGGGGGGGGGGGGGGGGGGGGGGGGGGGGGGGGGGGGGGGGGGGGGGGGGGGGGGGGGGGGGGGGGGGGGGGGGGGGGGGGGGGGGGGGGGGGGTGGGGGGGGGGGGGGGGGGGGGGGGGGGGGGGGGGGGGGGGGGGGGGGGGGGGGGGGGGGGGGGGGGGGGGGGGGGGGGGTGGGGGGGGGGGGGGGGGGGGGGGGGGGGGGGGGGGGGGGGGGGGGGGGGGGGGGGGGGGGGGGGGGGGGGGGGGGGGGGGGGGGGGGGGGGGGGGGGGGGGGGGGGGGGGGGGGGGGGGGGGGGGGGGGGGGTGGGGGGGGGGGGGGGGGGGGGGGGGGGGGGGGGGGGGGGGGGGGGGGGGGGGGGGGGGGGGGTGGGGGGGGGGGGGGGGGGGGGGGGGGGGGGGGGGGGGGGGGGGGGGGGGGGGGGGGGGGGGGGGGGGGGGGGGGGGGGGAGGTCAACTGGTCCAGGCGTGTCGAGGCCAGATGAATCACGCGTTCTTTAGGGTGGATAGGCGATGTGCGTGCTATCCATCCAGACGGTAGAGGGTCGGCAGCGATGCGAGGCAAGGCGACTGAGGCAAAGCAAGGTGACTTGGAAAATACTGTCTAATGACGACAGTGGCAGTTCCAAGGGCGGATCAAATTGACGACTATCGCTTTGTAGAGCGACTTGAAGGAATGGTAGTAAGCTGATCGGGTGACTCACAAAAAGATCTTTAAAATAAGACCACAAGAGTTCTTATGCGACGATAAGCTTCAAATACAGTTGAATTCGAAATTCCAAGCGCACAGTTTGCTGGTGATCCTAAGTTGTCCAAACAGCAATGCATTGCCCTCAGTCAGATCACGGTATTTACATGTGAGTTAACTGAGCCGGAGTTACTTCATTGTGTGGCCAGTGGGAACAAGCACAACAGTCCGGCTTGAACATTCTACGACTAGCACCTGAACACAGTTAAAGCATAACCCTTGCAAAACACTTGTAAAGTAAGGTTTGGGACATGTGCTTTGTGATGGGTGCAATTGTAGACTGAAGCTATCCACTAGGATTTCAAAGCACATTCCACGAAATATGGTCGCTATCAGTCCCAAACTGCGGTCTAGCTCTATTGCTCAACACGTCCTGATTTGCATAATGTGTCAACGTTCTCGTGATTTGTTTCAAGTAATTAACTTACAGAGCGATGCCCGATTGCTTCAGTTTGCCGAAGCCTCAGCTATTCGGCGGCTTAAGCCCAATTTGTGCAAATAGGCTGAAGTTACGGCCAGCCTCGCCCTACATTGGTGAGGTTATTGGTCGTTTTCCGTTGAACTAAATGACCTTGTACATTGCTTCACCGTTTGCAGGCAATGCGATAATTTCACCAATGTGTGTAAACAGACAAAGCGAACACTCGAAATATCTGAAGTCAGCGTATCCTGTCAACATGTTTTTCTTACTATTTTATAATCGAATTGAAAAACCCATTGATTGATCAGAAGTCCGTGTAAGCAAACATATGTTTTTGGTAATTCTTCATCAAGCTTATACAATTACATGAAACGCAAAATTTTTGTATACAGACCCAACGGGTCGTCAGTCAGCCAAATTGATTCAAGTGCGCTGTGCGAAACCGTCCGTTAGGTTACAGTTGTAGTTATACGTGCGTACAGATCAACTGCAGTCCGTCCTCGCCAAGCGAGGTTCAACGCGTGAGTGAACCTTTTCTGCGTCACAGTGCTGGTTCGTACAGCCGAATGGCGATGGCTTCTGCGGCATCTAATATCCGCTTACGGAAATAATTTGATCGATTTTCTAGGGCTGATAGATTACTTTGAACGAATCAGCCGACTTGGTGACGTGACCCGTATCCGTATGTGTGGCGATGGCCGAGTTGGTGACTTTTGGCCTCCGTTTCCGAGCCAGGCCGGATGGTGTTCCTTCACCCTTTCGGATAAGCGTCTTGTCGTACGACCAACTTAGCCTGCTGCACAGGAACAGGTAAAGGAGTAAACACACATTGGTTTGGTGGGGACAGTCAGCTTATCCTTGAGGTTTAGTCTCACCATTGGGCTGCTGGTGAACCGGATTTGCAGCCTCGCCGCTGGGAAGGTATTCCTGAGTGTGGACGAGAGACGGCGGGATAGATTCTCTGATACTATTTCCCCTTTGTAAGGCAGTTGTAGGAAAATAGGTTTCCGTTCCGACGTCAGGACCATAGGTGCCTCCCTGTTTCGCCCCATATTGGCATTAATAAAATTCTCTGGGTAGCCATTCTCTAAGCGTCGATCGTATTAGCTGCAACTCTTGAAAAGAGTATTCTTCGAGCAGATTATTTCCGCCCGGTTCACAAGACTGAGGACCAAGTTTCTCTTAATCCGAAGCGGCACAAAGCTATGAAAGTTTATGTACTGTCCATTCCAAGTGCACTTTCGGTAAACGCTGCGTTTTACTGCACCATCATCAAGTCTTTGTAGAGCTACATCGAGAAAATGGAAAGCGCCGTTTTCTTCTACCACGTAAATGAATTGTATAGCCTTGTGAGCTGGTTAAATACGATGGTGAGTTTCTCGATGTTACCGGAGGTGTCAAGTAAGACGAAGATGTCATCTACGTAACGGTGGTATAACGTGAGGCTACTGATGACCGCTTTCAAGTTACCCTGTTCCAACATACCCATTGTAATCGTATACCCTCCTGACACCGGTGTCTGGATAAAGACCACAAGTATTCCTCTAATGAATGCCAAACAGAAGAAACAAAAATAAGGGTTATGTGAGTTGGTATCATGTTTGATCTAGAACCCGTCCACTCTTCATCACCCAAGTTTGTTGGATCTTGGATGATCATGACGAAACTCAGAACTTCTAACTTCAATAACCGAGCTGGATGCGGCTATGTAGCTGGTGGTCAATTGGCCAGTATGAGATCTTCCCTAAGACAACGAATGAGGGGTGTGGAAGTCATAATGACATTTTAGAGTCCATTCTGCACTTTGCTATGTCAATCGACAAACCGGCTGACTGCGAACTAAAGTTTGGCCGGCACCAACTAGCTATAGATACAGTACTATGCAGTACGTAAACCTCAGCGAACACCAACAAGAAGTGTATGACCATGTGAAGAAGAGAGGAGTTGGATGTTCATGCAACCTTTGACAGCTTTATTGAGGCTGTCAGGCATAGGTCACTTGAGATAGACCGGTGACTGCAGGCCACTCATTACGCTCGTGCTAACGCGGTCGGTTTAAATCAAGCTCGGTGCTTCATCATCACATTAGCTGTCATCATCAGAAATGGACCATAGCACTAGGTAAGATGAGGATAGTAGGCTCTACATAAAGCCTAAAGTCAGTGAATAGTTCAATGTTGTAAACCTGAATAATTATGTTTAATACATGCCTTGTGTTTATCGAGGCAGTCTTGCTTCCTGACTCACCTGATTCCATCTTTGATTATCCCAGCTATTTGCTTAATCTTAAAGTTATTCATAAACTTAGAGGACAACACTTTGATCAGTGCATTAATCGTGTCTATAAGGAAAATTCTATGAACAACGCGACGCAGGGTTGATTAAACGGGCAACTGTAATCCTGTTACCTTTTGTCTTTTCAATGAACCGCTTCCGTGCATTGCAGTGACTTTCAGTGTGCAAGTACTTTAAAATGACAATTCATTAAGGACCGAGCTCTCCTGACGTGGCTGTACGCTCTCACTTTATTGTAACTGCGGAGGTTGTATTGCAATATTTTACGTCTCTACCCAAACACAGCTCGCCAGGTTCCGACACCATTCGTCTAGACGCACTGAAAGCAGCAGCATGCCAACTGACAGAACATTTAGCTCAGTTTTTCCAGCGCTACTTAGACCAGAACCAGGTTCCTGCTATGTGGAAGCTTGGAATAATAACTCCGATTCACAATGGTGGAAGCAGAACTGATCTCAACTACCGCCCAGTATCCCTTCTTCCTATACTCTCCAACGTCATGGAATCCATAGTTGCCGATGCACTGGGATGCTACCTGGAAAACTGTAGCCTCGTCACGCTTGAGCAGCACGGTTTCCATCGACAGCGGTCACGTACAACGAATTTACTAATCGCACGCAGCAGTTGGACCGAGGCAGCTGACTCTGGAGAAGGTGTTGACATGATCTACCTGGATTTTTCCAAGGCTTTAAGTCGTCTAGACCATTATGGGATCGGCGACCCACTTTTAAGCTGGATTGCCAACTTTCTACTTAAACGGCAATTAGTGGTCAGAGTTCGAAGCTCTTTATCGGACCCCATTCAAGTGGAGTATAGTGTGCCGCAAGGCTCAGTTCTAGGTTCACGTTTGTTTTTGGTGTTTATTAATGACCGTTCACAGAGAATCGCTTCAAACTTCCTAATGTTTGCTGACGATAGCAAGGTTTGACGTAGGATCCAGACGAAAGCCGACCAACATGTTCTTCAGGGTGACCTAGATACTGTGTGTCAATGGTCAAGCTAAAACTTACTGCATTTTAACGTCAGTACATGCAACTTGCTTTCCATGCGACATCAGTGCAGCTACTCATACCGGCTCGGAACGAATATACTGCAACGATCAACTCCCGAACGTGACTTGGGTGTTCCAGTTCGAAATGACTTGGGTTGCTCCAGGCAATCGGCAAAGGCCTCGAAGACTGGGAACCAACAAGTCGGGCTGTTGAGGCGGGCGTTTGGACAAATAAACAGCACCATAATTCGACAAGTGCTCAGTGCATGTGTTCGCCCCTCATGTCAAATACGCCGTTCAAGCCTGGCATCCATGGCTGAAACACGACATTAATGCACTGGAGCAGCCACAACGCCAAGCATCTAAGAACCTAATTGGAATTCGCAATTTTTCATACCAGGAGAGGCTGTAGCGATTGGGGTGTTCAGTGTAAGCTATCGCAGACCACGAGGCGAGCTAATTATGGTCTACTTGATACTCTGAGACCCACATCATGTGTACCGCCCTTTACTGTAACTCACCAGCAATACAAACCTGAGGGGCCACTCAGTGAAACTCTCTGTGCAGTATAGCTACCTGGAGTGCTGCAGAAATTCCCTTACCATCCGTGTCTGTCGCCCGTGGTATGTTCTCTCAGAATCGGTCGTCTCTGCACCGACACTAACAGTATTTAAAAGACGGTTGCATGGTTTACTCATCCACTTACACTTTGTCATTTAGCACTATGTCTCCATCCTACGCCTGGAGTTTACCATGAAATTATTTGATGTCAACTGACGGTGCTGTGAATCTAAGCAGATTGCAGGACTACGGCGGAGCAAACGATAAGCCCTTATTTTCATATTTAAAGTACTAACAGTGTTACTATCATTGTTATCATTATTGTTAAGGCGATATCCCTACCAAGAATCTTACGGGACTTGTAAGGCTACGCTTAACCCGTATAAATTCCTTGTTAATTATTCATTGTACATAGCTGTCGGACCATGGGCATTAGAAGAGCACTCCCTCTCTACTTGGGGCATGCATG